CTTTGTTAGCTCTTTGAATAACTTTGATGACTTTGAGAATAACTTTGATAGCTCTGGGAATAACTTTTATGATTTTGAGAACATCTTTGATGTCTTGGAGAACAACTTTGATGACCAAGATTAACTTTAGATGTCTCTGAGAATAACTTTTATAACATAGAAATTAACTTTAGATGTCTCTGAAAATAACTTTGATGAAAAAAGATGTCTTAGATTAACTTTTGATGACTTTGAAAACAAGTTTGATGAACAAAGATGTTTTGGAAAGTTTCTCTGACGAACGAAGGTAACTTAGAGATTAACTTTTATGATTTAGAGAACATCTTTGATGTCTTAGAGAACAAGATTGATGTCTTAGAGAACAACTTGGATGAACAAAGATGTTTTGGAAAGTTTCTCTGACGAACGAAGGTAACTTAGAGATTAACTTTTATGATTTAGAGAACATCTTTGATGTCTTAGAGAACAAGATTGATGTCTTAGAGAACAACTTGGATGAACAAAGATGTCTTAGAAAGCTTCTCTGATGAACGAAAAGATACTTAGAGAATAACTTTGACGACTGTATTTAACTTTTTGATGGCTCTGAGGACAGTTTTTGTTGAACGAGGATGTCTCGGAAGGCTTCTTTGAATAACAAAGGTGACTCTGAGAATAACTTTGATGACTCTGAGAAAGACTTTGTTGTCTTAGAATAACTTTTGATTGTTCTGAGAATAACTTTAGATATCTCTGAGAATAAGTTTGATGAACGAAGATGTCTTACAGAGCAAATTTTATGTTTCGAAGAATAACTTTTTGATGACTCTGGGAATAACTTTGAGGGCTTAGAGAATGTCTTTGATGAATGGAAGTGAGTTAGAGAATAACATAACATGACTGAGAATAACTTTTGATAACTCTTAGAATAACTTTGATGTCTTAGAGAATAACTTTAGATGACTTTGAGAATGTCTTTGGATACCTCTGAGATTAACTTTGATGTCTTTGAAACAACATTGATGAATTGGAGAATGTCTTTGAGAACAAGAGTAGTATTTTGTTAGCTCAGAGAATAACTTTTTGATGACATAGAGAATAACTTTTATGTCTTAGAGAAGAACATTGATGGCTTAGAGAGAATATCTTTGATGAAAGATGATGTCTTGGATTAACTTTGACGTCTCTTGGAATAACTTTAGATGTCTCTGAGAATAACTTTTATGAACGAAGATGTCTGAGATTAACTTTGACGTCTCTTGGAATAACTTTTGTGGACATGAGAATATCTTTGGATAACTCTGAGATTAACTTTGATGTCTTTGAAACAACTTTGATGTATGAAAAGTAACTTTGATGACTCGAAGATATCTTGCAGATCAACTTTGATGACAGAGATTAACTTTTGTTGTTTTAGAGATTAACTTTTTGATAGCTCCGAGAATAACTTTTATGCCTCTGAGATTAACTTTAATGAACGAAGATGTCTTAGAAAGTTCTCTGATGAATGAAAGGCTACTTGCAGAATAGCATTTTGATAACTGAGATTAACTTTTTGATGACTCTGAGAATAACTTTGAGGATGCGAGTAAATTTTTGAGTGTTTGAGAGCGTCTTTTTGTTATCTCGAAGAGTAACTTTGGTGTTACGGAGAGCACCTTTGATTATTTTTCTTACTTAACGACATATAATTTTTACGAAAGTGCTGAAAAAGTTACATTTGACTATTTTTCTTACTTAGCGACATATAATTTTAGTTACGAAAGTGTTGAAAAAGTTACATTTGACTCTTTTAGTTGAGGAAAAAGACAAAATATGACGACAGTGACTATTTTAGTGCTCCGCAAAGTATAATGTCAGTTAAGAATGACGATGATAGATATCTTTGACTATATTTTCTTACTTGACTATGGATAAAGTTAGTTATGAACAGCGTTGAAAAGATTCCTTTGACAATTTTTAGCTAAGCGAAAGGCTGTTTTAGTTAAGAACGATGTTGAATGAGGATAATCCTGACTATTTTCAGATGAGAGAAGTGATATTTCAGTTAAGAAATGACAAGGAAACATGATGAAGTAACTATTTTCAGTTGACCGATGAATACTTTTAGTTGAGCAAAAGCCAAAACGTGATGAACATGACTTTTTCTGATGATTGGCAGATAATTTTAGTTATGAAATGACAATGAAACATGAAGAACACGGTTATTTTCTGATGACTAGGGAATAAGTTTAGTTATGAACAGTTTTGGAAAGTTTCCTTTGACAATTTTTTTCTTGATGAAACATAGCGCCTGTTAAGAAAGTGCTGAAAAAAGTTTCCTTTGACAATTTTTAGCTAAGAGAAAGGTTGTTTTAGTTAAGAACAGTGTTGAACGAGGCTATTTCTGACTATTTTTAGTTGACTGGATAATAAGTTTAGTTGAGAAATGACGAAAGTGACTATGTTTTTAGTTGATTGGTGAAAGATTTTTTAGTTAAGGAACGTTAGATAACATGTAAGGGGAAAAACCTAGAGAACATATGGGGAACATGGCAAAGAACATATGTAAGAAAAGTTGATGAATACAGTGAACATGCTGGGAATATGAACTTACAGAGAACATGAAAACATGATAAGGAGAATAGGGATTACAAAGAATGAACAATGGACTTGTGAAGAACATGGAGAATATGACAAAAGAATGTAGAAAACATGTAAGTGAAGGTGAAAAACGAAGTGATCTTGTGAGGAACATGAACTTGTAGAGGAACATGAATATTGACAAAGAACACAAAATATGGAAGTTAGCATGAATATTGAGTATAAAAGTTGTAAAGAGAACATGTGATGAATATGAAAACATAGAAAATATGACTAGAATTTGTAGAGAACATAATGAGACTAAGAGAAAGATTACATAAAAAATGGAGATACTTGTGAAATATGAACTGAATGGGACTGTGAACATTTGAAGAACATGGAGTGAACATGGACAAAATGTGAAGAACACAGCTGAATATAGAGAAAATATGCAAATACAGTATGATTATTGAAGGTTTTGATACGTTGGGGATGAGAAAGTAAGGGAGGGAAAGGGTAAGAGTTAAGCTGGAGACGGACTTGATCGAAAATATTTATGTCTGATGATCTAAGGCTGAGGGAATGGAGCTTGGTTAATGCCCTGATTAATTTTACTACGTTAGAAAATAAGGTGATCTTAAATCTCATGTGATATAGTTGGAAATAAAGAACTTGTACAAAATGAACTAAGCTGGGGCACAAGAGTTGAAACTTGATAACTGAACTGGTTTTTATTTACTATGTCTGAAAATGTAGTTGGGTGATTTGGACTGAGAGTAATGAATTTACAAAAGTGAGCTTGGACAGAGGACAAGAGCTAGAGTTTTATAATTGTTTTCATCATATTTACTATGTCTGAAATACAGAGGGTAAAAATTTCGGGGAAATTGATGGTTTATTTACAAAGACTTGAGGGTGGAAGAGGGTGGGGGACGAGAGCTGGAGCTCAGTAACTGACTTGATCTTATTTACTAACTTTGAAGTATGTCTGCTTTTAATTTTAGGGAAATTGATGGGTTATTTACAAAGATACGAAAGAGAATTAAGGCGGGGACGAGAGCTGGAGCTCGATAACTATTTTGATCTTATTTACGGTGTCTGAAATACAGAGGGTAGAAATTTCAGGGGAATTGATCTGTTACTAACGAAGATACGAGAGAGAGCTAAGGCGGAGGACAAGAGCTGGAGCTTGGTAACTGTTTTGATCTTATTTACGGTGTCTGAAATACAGAGGCTAAAAATCTCAGGGAATTTGGACTGTTACTAATGATTTTGTACAAATGAACTAAGCTGGGGACAAGAGCTAGAGTTTGATAATTGTTTGCATTTACTAAACTATGTCTGAAATACAGAGGGTAGAAATTTCAGGGAAATTGGACTGATACTAACGAAGATACGAGAGAGAGCTAAGGCGGAGGACAAGCGCTGGAGCTTGGTAACTAAATTACTGTATTGAACTACATTTGAAATATGATTATTTTTAAATTTTAGAGGGATTGGAATGATAGTATTCATTATACGACAGGGGACTAAGGTGGGGAACGTGAGCTAGAACTTGCTTACTAACATGATTTATTTGTGTAAAACTGACTTGCTTAATGAAAAGGAGCAAACATACTGACTTGCTTAATGAAAAGGAGCAAACATACGATGTTGGAAAATAGTTGAACTGAATGAAAGGAGAGAGAGAGAGAGAGAGGAGGGACGGTCCAGATATTACGGATAAGATAAGATAAGATTAAGAGCCGACTGGCTGGCTGGCTGGGCGCAAAGTAAATAAAGGTGACGCGACAGATTGCGAGGTAAGGGGGGAGGGAGGGGGGTGTGATGTACGAGACTTGAAAACCATGACTTACACAGGTGATTTTCTAAATTTATATGAATAACTAAGGCTTACATAGACGATTTTGTAAGTTGAAAACATGTAAAATATGTCCGTAGAGTTCTCCTGGAAGCCCTAAAGAGCTACATACGTTACTTGAATTTGTCCCATAAGGCCTTAACAAACTTCTAAGTCTCGGAAATTATTTTCTCATAAGAATTCCATACTTCTAAAATCTGTGACACAAAATTTACCTGAAAACCCTGGCTCACACGCGAGATATTGGAACCTCAAAACCCTGGCTCACAGACACGATATTTCCCAGAAACAAAATATCGTCTTTGAGTCGTACGACTCACAGACGATATCTGGCCGGAAAAAAAAATATCGTCTGTGAGTCGTACGACTCAAAGACGATATCTGGCCGGAAAAAAAAAATATCGTCTGTGAGTCTTACACCCTACTACTTGAGTTTTCAGTATATATATATATATATATATATATATATATATATATATATATATATATATATATATATATATATATATATATATATATATTATATTTTAATTGATGGTATTAGTGAATACTGTAGTTATTTGTGGATTTAGCCAATCAAACTGTTAAAAGCACATACCGTCTGCTTGCGTCCGTCGGGAAGGTCGACACTGTAAGAGCCACGGACGGTGTTGCCGTCGGAGTTCTCACTGTGGCCGAAGTTAGTGCCGGAGTAGTCGTCCCTAACATTGTATGTGAAGTCGTGTGGCATCCCCGGCTGCTGCAGTAATATAGCACATTAATGATGCTTAGTTTTAACTTTGCCAAAATAGTGCAAAATAGAAATAAAGTTATTTTCAGTTGTGTACGCGAACGAGTGCTTAAAGTTATAAAACGAAAGGCCAAATAATGTCTACCTTGTATACAGAACTATGGACAGGTTGAACATGGTAGGGGTCGGAGGGGGCAGAGAGAGCTACACCCAACACCACCACCATCAGCGCCGCCTGCAGGAGACCAGAGTCTTTGATGCTCTTATTATAATAGAGAAACCTTGTATTGGAAGAAGTGCTTTGGGAAATATTTTTAAAACGTTTAATATGTAAGGATCTTTAAATGATTTAGAATGTGTACGATAGGTTATATATGTAAAATACAATTCAAGTATATTGTGAATCAGTATGGGAAATAATATACATATTTTATGTGTAAGTTGTGTGCAGTTAATTCTTAATACTTTTCCAGACTTTAATCACAGAGAAAATGTATAACAATATAACTTAAATTGGCACTAGTGTTGATGAGTTTAAAGTACCAACCTTAAGAGCCATGTTGAGTGTGTTGCGTTACAGGATGGTGAGTGATGGTGGTGTCCAGTCCGCGTCTGGCTTTATACTCACCATCCTCTCTCCTGGACCTCCCTGTTTCTCCCCCCCCCCCACTCTCCAACACCTGTTGTCTTATTTCTTCCTCACCCACATATTCTTCCTTATGTTCTTGTTAATAGAACACCGCAGGAACGAGTTGAAGCTTAGACATTCACCAAGTAAATATACCTTTAGGAATAATATGCTCACAACAATAAATAATTTTGACATCTGAACATGTATTTTTGAATTGTTGATTTTAATGGAAGATTAATGTATCGTTAGAATGTTAAATAATACGAACTGTGTTCGTAGATCATGATTATCAGCTGAAATACCGGATTAATATTCTTGGGAGCAGGTGTGTCATACTTATAATGTGATTGCTGTTTCACGTTAGAAATTTAATGTTGTATAACATTTAATAATATATTAATTCACGAGTGTCGTTGGAATGATGATTAATATATGAAGGGTATATTCATATACCCTTTCTATATATATCAAAGAAAATATATGAAACAGAGAATGCTAGATATGCAATAGGAAGTGAATAATGAAAATTGAAAATGATAAAAAAAAGTGCTAAAGTGTAGCAGAGTTTGAATGGCGTTTAAAGTATAAACAGCAGAGTATATATAGTTTGCAAACGCTTTATTTTAAAATCTGCTTTATACTAAAATAAATTGGTTTATAGGCAAACTTTAATTTTTGGTTCCTCTAAAAGAAAGAAAATTTAAAACATCGAGAGGTGAAGGAATAAAGAAACATCGCAAGGTTCGCTCTTCCTGGCGTTCGTCTTCCTTATGATTACGATGTCAATAACACGTTTATTGATGAATACGGGAAATGTAAGAGTCAGTGTTTTTTTTATACAGTTTCTGCCTGCCATATATCCCACCGGAAATACAAGGAAACTTTGCTTGAAAGTTGTCTGTCTTTTATTAATTGGCTAATTTTCACAGCCTTCAAAATAAATGGCATTTGTAAGAAATATTTTGTACACAGTCATTAATGTTGTTCAGGTAAATAACTCCACAAATATGAATTCGGTTAATAAAGTAAAAGTTGGTTATCTCCAACCAGTGTTATAGTGTTGTATTTTCTGCATGAAGGCATTTGTTTAAATCTCCACATATGATATTCTTGACCAAAATTCATTTGTTATATCCCAGGTGAGTATTGACTTTCGCTATAATAACTGCTGGATTTGTTGAGTGTTACTAATAAGGATGTTAGAGTTTACAGGGTATAAAAGCTCGTCATTATTTTAAGACTTTATTTTCATAACTTACAAGAAGACGTAGATTACAAACTTCTTTATAAAGTACCAGAAGTTTCAAACCGGCTTCCTTAGATGCAGTTTTTATTGGTAATGTTCCTCGGAATCGTATGAGGGTTGATATGAGGACTTCAAGAGGGGCTTGTATGATGGTTGGGTTGGATATGAAGGCTGGGTTGGGTATGAAGGCTGGGGCTTGTATGAAGGCTGAGGCTTGTATGAGGGCTGAGGCTTGTATGAGGGCTGGGTTGGGTATGAAGGCTGGGGCTTGTATGAAGGCTGAGGCTTGTATGAGGGCTGGGTTGTGTATGAAGGCTGGGGCTTGTATGAGGGCTGGGTTGTGTATGAAGGCTGGGTCTTGTATGAGGGCTGTGGATAGTATGATGGCTGGTACTGGGGCTTGAAGGTGACAGGGGGACCATACTCGTGGGGGTACTGGGCCTCGCCCTCATACCTGACCTCTGCCTGATACCCGTAGTCGTCCTTGGCAACGTAATTCACCTGTCCAATTAAATAATAATTAATGAGACAAATGAATTAATTAGAATTAATATGTATATTATAATGAAATTAATTTTTAAAATCAATTGATTGTTCTGCTCAGTAAATAACAAACGTTACGCAGATTCCAAATATTGACTTCAACGGAAATACCAGAATTTGAATCATAATTGCAGTAAATTGGATAATTGTTTCTTTGGTTAATATGTTCATCATTCCCTATTAAGTTAAAAGTTATCTTACCGTCTGTTTGCGGCCGTCTGGAAGCTGGACGGTGTAGGAGCCTGAAACGGTGTCTCCGTCAGACTGTTCGTTTTGGCCAAAGTCATTGCCGGAGTAGTCGTCCTTGACGCCGTACTGGAAGTTGTATGGCATGCCCTCCTGAAGTGTATTATGGTATACCAGTGTTAAGTTTGTAAATCTATGGGGAGATCACATGTAATAATTTCATGCTATAAATTTGTAACATTGTTTTAATGGAGTTTGTGTTGTGATAAGCCTGAGAGTTTTGAGGTACCTGTTCGTAGCGTGGGTGATGTCCTGGTGGAGCGTAGCGATCATAATCGTCAGCGAGAGCCTTTCCCACCATAACCACCACCACCAGCAACACACTGAGCTGAGGACAACAACACTCGCTATTACTCTCGTAACCCCAAATTATGTTGAGATTCAACAATTAGGCACGAATTCGCATATTATTGTGGTTAAAAGAAAAAAATACATCTTGAAAACACGTTACCTTAGCGATCATGTCGTCTACAAGTTACCGAAGCTGAGGAGCGAGTGATGTGGAGAGGATGATGGTTGAGCTTTATATAGTGATGAAGGTTGTCCTTGACGTAGGTAAGTGTAGGGTCGGCACTGGGAGGAGTCCACAGGGAGCCAAGCTATGGAGAGATAATTACTTATTGTCGTTTCGTAACACCGAAATTGTAAATACATAACTTTACTGAATTTATCTCCAGTTCTGTGCTTGTATAGTGTAGGAATCTCTCGTAATATTTCATATCAATAATAATTCGTGTATCAACGGAAATAACAATTGCAGTATGAGAATTAAAATTTGTTTGCTTTAAATTTAACAATTAGGTGAATAATAACCATATTAAATCCAAACGTTTTAAAACTTATTGCATATAGTTAAAACATTTCTGGCTTGTTCACTTAAGCAAACTTAACTTTGGAAGCTACTGAACACAACAGTGTCATTGTAAAGAGACGATCATTATCTCCAATATTAATATAATTTGCTCGTGTTTGCCTTTTATTTGCTTTTACTTTAGAAACCTTTACCGCCACACGGTTTCTATAAATAATATGAATCCAAATATCATATGTGATTTTTCACTATAAAGTATAAACAATAGACGAGATATATACTTTTATGGTGTCTTAATGTGCTGAACGACACGTTCACCTAATAAGATTCCGATTATTGATAATTTAGCAAATTCATTAAGGTATATTCAAATGAAATTTAAACTTGCTTGAGTTTATTCACATTAAAACATAAGTAAAATCTTTTAACAAATGAGCAACAACAATCCTGAAGGTTTAAATAGGTAAGATGTTTTTATGGGTGGTATGGGGTTGTGTATGAGGGCGTGTGTTGGTACGAAGGTTGTGACTTGTAGGTGACAGGAGGTCTGTAATGGTGGGGATGGTGAGCCTCTCCAGAGTACTGTACATCAGCTGTGAAGCCCTTGTTGTGGTCGGCCTCGTAATTAACCTGCCAATAGAAGTACAAATTTTAATATAAGAGTGTGAGAATATTTTGTAGTGAATTACTAAAGATTTATCAATTTTAACTCTTTAGCTGTAACGAATGTCTGTTGAAGAATGCATCCCCGAATTATACAACTAACATCAATTGGGGGTTTAGCACTTAAACACCTTCGCTTATAGTTTTAGAAATAAATCTGTAAATTAAGGATTGACATAAATGACTAATAATTCGCAATAAATAGATTAAGATTATTTTATACATATAAAAAGTAATAAGAAGTACTTAGTGCTTGTGGAATCATCGTTTCTCAAATTATTAATCGAATAACATTAGTTTGACATTTTTTATTTCTAATAAATTTCACCAATATTTATGTTAAGTTTTCATGTACTTTCTTAAGACATAATTAAAGGATAAATTAATCAAATTTTAGTTCTATTTATTGATATCAAACTTTAATATGAACGTATGTTTATGGTTTGATATTTATCATCCGTATTCGTATCCTATACTCATTTGGAAATTAGAAACTACTATAACTGTCAATATATATATTTTAATTGGTGATATTAGTAAATACTGCAGTTATTTGTGGATTTGGCCAATCAAACTGTTAAAAGCACATACCGTCTGCTTGCGTCCGTCGGGAAGGTCGACACTGTAGGAGCCACGGACGGTGTTGCCGTCGGAGTTCTCACTGTGGCCGAAGTTGGTGCCGGAGTAGTCGTCCCTAACATTGTATGTGAAGTCGTGTGGCATCCCCGGCTGCTGCAGTAATATAGCACATTTATGATGCTTAGTTTTAACTTTGCCAAAAAAGTTCGATTAATATATACATTTTGAATTTTTCTTAATTCCAGTCGAGTAGGCGAACGATTGTTTAAAGTTATAAAACGAGAGGCCAAATAATGTCTACCTTGTATACAGAACTATGGACAGGTTGAACACGGTAGGGGTCGGAGGGGGCAGCGAGAGCTACACCCAACACCACCACCATCAGCGCCGCCTGTAGGAGACCAGAGTCTTTGATGCTCTTATTATAATAGAGAAACCTTGTATTGGAAGAAGTGCTTTGGGAAATATTGTTAAAACGTTTAATATGTAAGGATCTTTAAATGATTTAGAATGTGTACGATAGGTTATATATGTAAAATACAATTCAAGTATATTGTGAATCAGTATGGGAAATAATATACATATTTTATGTGTAAGTTGTGTGCAGTTAATTCTTAATACTTTTCCAGACTTTAATCACAGAGGAAATGCATAACAATATAACTTAATATAACTTAAATTGGCACTAGTGTTGATGAGTTTAAAGTACCAACCTTAAGAGCCATGTTGAGTGTGTTGCGTTACAGGATGGTGAGTGATGGTGGTGTCCAGTTCGCGTCTGGCTTTATACTCACCATCCTCTCTCCTGGACCTCCCTGTCCCCCGCTCTCCAACACCTGTTGTCTTATTTCTTCCTCACCCACATATTCTTCCTTATGTTCTTGTTAATAGAACACCGCAGGAACGAGTTAAAGCTTAGACATTCACCAAGTAAATATACCTTAAGGAATAATATGCTAACAACAATCAATAATTTTGACATCTAAACATGTATTTTTTAATTGTTGATTTTAATTGAAGGTTAATATATTGTTAATGTTATTTTTTTTTTTACATGCAAGCATGCAATTAAATACAATAAAACAAACACAAAACAGAATACAATGTAAGTATGCAAGCAAAGAATGACAATCGGAATGAATGTATCGGCCTGAAGGACCGATAACAAAGCACAACAGGAAGCACAACATGAAAGATAACAATACAAAAAAAGAATACAAAGGAGCAAAGCACATAACCACCGGCCTGAAGGGCCGCCATCAAAACAGTAACATGAAGAACCACCACACCGCAGGACACAAGAGAAAACAGCAACAAAATAATGTGGCAAAGAGCAATTCAAAACAATGCACACAAAAACACAGAAATTATATACAGAAAAGAAACACAGGATACATACTGAGAAGAACAAGACATTAACAAGCAAAGCAGCAGCCCGAAGGGCCTCAGCAAAACACAAATTAGCCCACTAATAGCACACGAATACACAAACCGGAACAGGCCCACGCGGGAGCCTTAGAATGTTACATAATACAAACTGTGTTTGTAGATCATGATTATCAGCTGAAATACCGGATTAATATTCTTGGAAGCAGGTTTATCATATTTATAATGTGATTGCGTGTTCACGCTAGAAATTTAATGTTATATAGCACTTAGTAATATATTAATTCAAGTCGTGGGAGTGATGATCATTCATGATTAATATATGAAGGGTATATTCATATAACCTTTCTATATATATGAAGGAAAATATATGATACAGAGAATGATAGATATGCAATAGGAAGTGAATAATGAAAATCGAAAATGATAAAAAAAAGTGCTAAAGTGTGGCAGAGTTTGGATGGAGTTTAAAGTATAATCAGCAGAGTATATATAGTTTGCAAACGCTGATTTTTAAAATCTGCTGTATACAAAAGTAAATTGGTTTATAGGCAAACTTTAATTTTTGGTTCCTCTAAAAAGAAAGAAAATTTAAAACATCGAGAGGTGAAGGGATAAAGAAACATCGCAAGGTTCGTTCTTCCTGGCGTTCGTCTTCCTTATGATTACGATGTTAATAACACGTTTATTGATGAATACGAGAAATGTAAGAGTCAGTGTTTTTTTCATGCAGTTTCTGCCTGCCATATATCCCACCGGAAATACAAGGAAACTTTGCTTGAAAGTTGACTGTCTTTTATTAATTGGCTAATTTTCACAGCCTTCAAAATAAATGGCATTTGTAAGAAATATTTTGTACACAGTCATTAGTGTTGTTCAGGTAAATGACTCCACAAATATGGATTCGGTTAATAAAGCAAAAGTTGGTTATCTTCAAACAGTGTTATAGTGTTGTATTTTCTGCAAGAAGGCATTTGTTTAAATCTCCACATATATGATATTCATGGCCAAAGTTCATTTGTTACATCCCAGGTGAGTACTGACTTTCGCTATAATAACTGCTGGATTTGATGGGTGTTACTAATAAGGATGTTAGAGTTTACAGGGTATAAAAGCTCGTCATTATTTTATGATTTTATTTAATAACTTGCAAGAAGACGTAGATTACAAACTTCTTTATCAAGTACCAGAAGTTTCAAAACGGCTTCCTTAGATGCAGTTTTTATTGGTAATGTTCCTCAGAATCGTATGAGGGTTGATATGAGGACTTCAACAGGGGCTTGTATGATGTCTGGGTTGGATATGAAGGCTGGGTTGGGTATGAAGGCTGGGGCTTGTATGAAGGCTGAGGCTTGTATGAGGGCTGGGGCTTGTATGAAGGCTGAGGCTTGTATGAGGGCTGGGTTGGGTATGAGGGCTGGGTTGGGTATGAAGGCTGGGGCTTGTATGAGGGCTGGGTTGGGTATGAAGGCTGGGGCTTGTATGAGGGCTGGGTTGGGTATGAAGGCTGGGGCTTGTATGAGGGCTGTGGATAGTATGATGGCTGGTACTGGGGCTTGAAGGTGACAGGGGAACCATACTCGTGGGGGTACTGGGCCTCGCCCTCATAGCTGACCTCTGCCTGATACCCGTAGTCGTCCTTGGCAACGTAATTCACCTGTCCAATTAAATAATAATTAATGAGACAAATTAATTAATTAGAATTAATATGTATAATATAATGAAATTAATTTTTAAAATCAGTTGATTGTTCTGCTCGGTAAATAACAAACTTTACGCAAATTCCAAATATTGAATTCAACGGAAATACCAGAATTTGAATCATGATTGCTGTAAATTGGATAATTGTTTCTTTGGTTAATATGTTCATCATTCCCTATTAAGTTAAAAGTTATCTTACCGTCTGTTTGCGGCCGTCTGGAAGCTGGACATTGTAGGAGCCTGAAACGGTGTCTCCGTCAGACTGTTCGTTTTGGCCAAAGTCATTGCCGGAGTAGTCGTCCTTGACGCCGTACTGGAAGTTGTATGGCATGCCCTCCTGAAGTGTATTATGGTATACCAGTGTTAAGTTTGTAAATCTATGGGGAGATCACATGTAATAATTTCATGCTATAAATTTGTAACATTGTTTTTATGGAGTTTGTGTTGTGATAAGCCTGAGAGTTTTGAGGTACCTGTTCGTAGCGTGGGTGATGTCCTGGTGGAGCGTAGCGATCATAATCGTCAGCGAGAGCCTCCCCCACCATCACCACCACCACCATCAACACACTGGTCTGAGGACAACAACACTCGCTATTACTTACTCTCGTAACCCCAAATTATGTTGAGATTCAACAATTAGGCACGAATTCGCATATTATTGTGGTTAAAAGAAAAAAATACATCTTGAAAACACGTTACCATAGCGATCATGTCGTCTATAAGTTACCGAAGCTGAGGAGCGAGTGATGTGGAGAGGATGATGGTTGAGCTTTATATAGTGATGAAGGTTGTCCTTGACGTAGGTAAGTGTAGGGTTGGCACTGTGGGAGGAGGACCACAGGGAGCCAAGCTATGGAGAGATAATTACTTATTGTCGTTTGGTAACACCGAAATTGTAAATACATAACTTTACTGAATTTATCTCCAGTTCTGTGCTTGTATAGTGTAGGAATCTCTTGTAATATTTCATCTCTATAATTATTCGTGTATCAACGAAAATAACAATTGCAGTATGAGAATTAACATTTGTTTGTTTTAAATTTAACAATTAGGTGAATAATAACCATATTAAATCCAAACGTTTTAAAATTTATTACATATAGTTAAAAATTCTATGGCTTGTTCACTTACACAAATTTTACTTTGGAAACTAATGACCACAAGAATACCATTGTAGAGAGACGATCATTGTCTTTAATATTAATATATTTTGTTCGTGTTTGCCATATATTTGCTTTTCTTAAGATCCCTTACAACCATAGTTTCTATAAATAATCTGAACCCAAGTAACGTTTATCATTTCACTATAAAGTATAAACAGTAGATGAGATACATACATCTTTTAGTGTTCTATTGTGCTAAACGCCACATTCCCGTATTACAATACCGATTATTGTTAACTTAGCAAATTCATTAAGGTATATTCATACGAATGTTAAATTTGCTTCAGTTTATTAATATTAAAAACATAACAGTGAGTAAAATCTTTTAACAAATGAGCAGTAACAATCCTGGTAGGTTTAAGTGTGTAAGATGTTATTTGGGGTAGTATGGGGTTGTGTGTGAGGGCGTGTGTTGGTATGACGGTTGTGAATTGTAGGTGACAGGAGGCTTGTAATTGCGGGGATGGTGAGCCTCACCAGAGTACTGTACATCAGCTGTGAAGCCTTTGTTGTGGTCAGCCTCGTAATTAACCTGCCAATATTAGTAAAATATTAATATAATAGTATGAGAATATTTAGTAGAGAATTACTAGAGATTTATCAGTTTTAACTCTTTAGTTGAGGCAAATGTCATTAGGTGAATAGTGGATCACCGAATCACACAATATCAATTGACCTTCAGCACCTGAACACATACGATTACAGAGTTTTATCTATAAATCTATAAAATTAGGAAGAACTGACATAAGTGACAAACAAAACACAATCAGAAGATCAAGATTATTGTTATACATATAAAAGTAATTATAAGTACTTGGTGCTTTTGGAATCATCGTTCCACAAAATATTAATCGAATAACATTAGTTTGAATTTTTTGTTATATTTCCCGATTGTTACACTAATATTAAATAAGCTTTCATGTATTTTGTCAAGAAAAAAATAGCATAAATGATTACATTTTTGGTTCTAGATGCTGATATCAAACTTAATGACTGTATGTTCATGGTTTAGTGTGCTACATCCCTATTTTCAATTTACTTGCAAATAAGGAACTACTAAAAAGTTTATTTTGAATTGGTGATATTAGTGAATACTTATTTATGGAATTGATTTATCACACTGTTAAAAGCACATACCGTCTGCTTGCGTCCGTCGGGAAGGTCGACATTGTAGGAGCCACGGACAGTGTTGCCATCGGAGTTCTCACTGTGTCCAAAGTTGGTGCGGGAGTAGTCGTCCCTAACATTGTATGCGAAGTTGTGTGGCATCCCCGGCTGCTGCAGTAGTATAACACATTTAAGATGCTTAGTTTTAACCTTGTTTGCCCCCCCAAAAATGTGTGATTAATATATACATTCCTGGGGAAACAGATTAATTCCAGTTGTGTAGGCGAACGATTGTTTAAAGTTATAAAACGAGAAGCCAAATAATGTCTACCTTGTATACAGAACTATGGACAGGTTGAACACTGTAGGGGTCGGAGGTGTCGGCGAGAGCTACTCCCAACACCACCACCATCAGCGCCGCCTGCAGGAGACCAGTGTGTTATATATTATGAAATATTTGTTTAGGTTTGTTGACCAGACCACACACTAGAAGGTGAAAGGACGACGACGTTTCGGTCTGTCCTGGATCATTTTCAAGTCAATCGATTTGAGAATGGTCCAGGACGGACCCAAACGTCGTCGTCCCTTCACCTTCTAGTGTGTGGTCTGGTCAACATACTTTAGCCACGTTATTGTGACTCCTCGCCTGTTTAGGTTTGATTTTGTTAAGGATATGCGAATTATTTAATTTGATATAAATGGTATATTAACAATTATAAATTGTAATTAATAGTCGTTATAGTCTCTATAAATAATCTTTATAGTGTTCCATTTTAAGCAATTTTAGGATATAATGTACCAAATGTGCTGTCAAATATTATTTTCCTGTCATTAATCAGAGAGGAGTTACACATGCGATGACACAAGTGTTGATATGTATAAAGTATCACAAACCTTGAGAGCCATGTTGAGTGAGTTATTGGAGGGTGAGTGACGGTGATGTCTAGACCGCGTCTGTCTTTATATTCACCAGCCTCTCTCCTGGACCTTCCTGTCCCCCGCTCTCCAACACCTGTTGTCTACTACATCACCACAACATTTACATGTTTATCTTTTTGTTAATAATAGACAGTATTCTCACTTTCATAATTCTTGTCTGCCGCAGGAACTTCTTAAGGCTAATATATAGATTATCACCAACTGAAAATACCTATAATAATGTGCTCACCACTGTTCATAATTTTGTAATTTGAACATGTATTTTTGTACAAATTGTTATTATTGGAAGATTAATACAACATTGCATGCATGTATATTTCGTATTGTCAAAATATATATAATTAAACTAAAAATTCAAACTGTTCTCGTAGATATGGTTATCACCTGAGAGATAGGATTCATGTTCCTGGGTCCAGGTTTGTTAATCTTTTAATGACTGCTCACTCAGTGGTGGTGGTGATGTGTATATGGAGGGTGAGACATTGTTTTTGATACATGATATATACGATGACGATATATAAGGTAATAATGAGAATGATTAAAGAGTGTGTTGAGTTTTGAAAGATGCTTCTTTGAGTGGTGGTAATAAATTATGTTATTTGTAGCATACGATCATTGTCTTATTGAAATATACTTGTCTAAAAGTTGATTGCTTATAGGTAACTTACGTCCATCTAGGCAAATCCATTAAGATCATTTGCTTTGGTGATTATTATTCAGTCTAATGATGAATACGGCAAATGAATTATTATTAGTTTTGGGACGTTAAATAGCCGATTGTAAATTGGGCGAAACTTATGTTGAAATTTTGCTTATCTTTTGATAATCTATTTTTTTATACATCATTGTAGATAAATCGAATAAATAGAATGTCTTGCATAACATAAGTGATACTCAGATGACAGGCTCTACATCAGTCAGCACACAGTATATACTTTCACGACTAAAAATCACATTTACTCCAAAAAATCTACCACTTACGGGCTATTCATGCCCGTGCCACCTCTTGAGTGGCTTAATCTTCATCAGTCAATCATCGACAGACTCTATATGGCGTATCCCGTTTATAATATTTAAGACGTGATTAGTTGATGTGCCTGAAAAAAATTCCGTGTTGTGCTGTTGCATTTTCTTCAGGAAGACATTCGTTTGTTGAACAAAGTTGAATATACGACATTGTTAAACGAAGCTCGTATGTCAAATCCTGGTTGATCTCCCTACTTTGGCTATATATAACATATAACGACTTGTTTGGAGTTATTGATAAGGATGTTAAAATTTACAGGGTATAAAAGCTCGGCATTTTTTTAAGACTTTAATGGAATAACATACACGAAGACCTAGGGATTAAAGTCATTTTTTAAATTAGTTTTTAAAACTGCTTCCAAAGCTGCAGATTTTATTCGTAATGTTCCTCAGAATCGTATGAAGGCTGAGGCTGGTATGAGGGCTGAGGTTTGTATGATGTCTGGGTTGGGTATGAGGGCTGGGGCTTGTATGAGGGCTGGGGCTTGTATGAGGGCTGGGGCTGGTATGAGGGCTGGGGCTTGTATGAGGGCTGGGGCTTGTATGAGGGCTGGGGCTGGTATGAGGGCTGGGGCTGGTATGAGGGCTGTGGATAATATGATGGCTGGTACTGGGGCTTGAAGGTGATGGGGGGACCGTACTCGTGGGGGTACTGGGCTTCACCCTCATACAAGACCTCCGCCTGATACCCGTAGTCGTCCTTGGCAACGTAGTTCACCTGTTAGATAATTCGTAATGTTAAGAATTAGGCTATATAATTATAATCAGAATTAATTTTGTTAGGTAATTCATTATTTCGTTCAATAACATAGATTTTGCAAATATTGAATTATTGGGCAATATCAGAAATAAAAATATATCAGTGCATGGGTTAATGCATTTCTTTGCTTAATATATTTTGGTTATCATTACTTATTAAGTTAATAGTGATCTTACCGTCTGTTTGCGGCCGTCTGGGAGCTGGACGGTGTAGGAGCCTGAGACAGTGTCTCCATCAGACTGTTCGTTTTGGCCAAAGTCATTGCCGGAGTAGTCGTCCTTGACGTCATACTGGAAGTTGTATGGCATGCCCTCCTGAAGTGTATCATGGTGCAAAAGTGTTAAATGTGTATATCTTTGTAGGATTACTAATAATATTTTAAATATTATACCTTGATATTGTAAATTACTTGAATTTTGTGTTGCAAAAAGCATGAGAGTTTTGAGTTACCTGTTCGTATCGTGAGTGATGTGCTGGTGGGGAGTAGCGATCGTAATCTAAAGCGACAGCTTCCCCCACCATCACCACCACAACCAGCAACACACTGAGCTGAGGACAACACAAATTAATTACCTTCGTGTTCCAGCATCATACAGATACATAGTTGTAAATTGTGTCCCGCAGTTATATAGAGATATAGGAGTAAATTTCTCGGAAGGTGGAACGTATTATGTTTATACAAGTTCTCTTCAGTAAGACACGTTACCTTTGCGATCATGTTGACTACTTGTTATAGAGGCGGAGTGAGTGATGTGGAGAGGATGGTGGTAAAGCTTTATATAGTGATAATAAAGGTAGACCTTGACGGAAGTAGGTGGAGTGCCAACTCTGTGGGAGGAGGACCAACAGGGAGCCAGTCTCATGAGAGATAATTACCTATTGGCATTATGTAACACCGGTGCTGCAAATGCTCAAATTTATTAAATGTATCCGCACGTTTGTTCTTGTATAGAGTAGGAAACTCTGGTGGTGAGCAACTGTTAACTTAATACAAACTTCCTTCAATGAAAAATCAGACAATTACATTTTTTATTTATTTTTATTTAAAGGCAATATATATTGTGACGATAATCTCCTTCAAGAGATTGAGCCTGCTCTTCCCTCCACAATTACGTCGTTGAAATTATATAAAACTACTATGGAAGAAATGTCCAACAACGACAACAACACCAGCAAGGTTTGCCAGAGCGCAAAACGTATGCAGCCAGAGACACCTGCTCAGACTCAAACCGCCAAACTGCCTGTCTTACTACCGGCTCCGCTGATTGGTCGCCGGTCTGGCTGCAACTGCACTCGCCCCCCCCCATACTACTTGATGTCTGGGGTCGCCACGACCTCAGACCTCAGAATATTCAGTGCTTCCACGGTTACCACTCCTCCCGGCTAGACGTTAGCGTGTACTGAGAGAGGTGGTAGCTTAAAGCCAATATTCCAGCACCTTACCTTTATTTTTGTATTGCACTTCTTGTTATTTTGTCTTAACGTAACTTTTCATTGTGTCATTTAATTATTCTTATTCTTTTGATTGATTGATTTTATTATACGAATTTGTTTGTCCATTTTTCCATGTTTTGATTTATTTAACGTAATTAAAATTTCATTGTTAAAGTTTACTTGAGTTTTGTGTGTCTTCTCCTTACCTTACCACAGACGAAGTTCCAGTTTTTCTATTTTTTTTTATAACTATGTGACGAGGCCATACCCCTAGCCTTAAACAGCCGAGCACCAACGCGTTACCGTCACAATATATACACTTAAGTTACAACTCAAAGAAATAATTATTTAAAATGTATAACTTCTGATGATTATGCATTTGATACTAACAGTATATATTTTTTAAATATAACAGTTTACAGATAAATTATCATAGCATTTACATACAACAATTAGCGTGCTACTGTTATAAATGGTGTTACTGTATGACATGTAATATAAATAATATATTGTTTACAAAATTTCAAAAAATATTAAACTAATGAAAAGGCCCTTTTTGTTGGGTTGCATATATGTGGAAAGGGTGCCGGCCGGGAAGTCACTTTAGCTTGTAAACTCTTGGGAATGGAATTTTGCTGACTCGTCATGTTGGGGAAGGGGGTTGTGATGATCAAGTTAAGATAGTTTACTAGTTCGCGATTTCAGTGTAGTTACTCATTTTGAGGAATAAATACAGTATTTCTCACAATGCCTACAGCATATTTACTAACAAAATAGATGAATATAATGTTTTTTGGCAACGTTTAAAAGGAAGTGTCTTGCATCCCATTCTTTTGTTGCACTTCTCTCTGGTAATGTCATACAGAAATAGGTTTAAAGACTAATATGTCACTTGATAATCGCAGGCGACTGGTACACGATAATCTTATCGCATAGTAATCAGTCAAAAACGATGGCAGAAACTTTGTCATGGATCATTGTTACACTCTTACATCCAAAGAGACGTATTATAACCAAACATAGCATAGTATAAAAACCGGGCGAAATTAACTGAAATTAATGTATGGTAACCACGTTATCCGGTGGATGGTAAACTTGATATAATTGAAAATACTGAAATCTATGAATTGTTCGTTTGATCGACTTTAACTTTATAAATTTAAAAAAAAAACATACCGATGTCATGGAGATGATAATTGTCATTAGTTTTAATAATATAATTTGTTATTGTTCGAACGTGTCTATAATTTGGTCATGTTTACTTTACACTAAAACCCTTTATCAGTCAATTGTTTCTGGAAATAATCCGAGCTCAAATTAGCAATTGTCATTCTAATTTAAGATATGAAGCGTCAATACTACGAAGACATATTCACATTTTCCGTTACTGAATTTTGTTAAATTGGTAAATTCCTTTGAACATATAGAGAGAAATATTAAACTTGCAAGAGTTTATTCATTCTAACAATATAACAGTGAGTATCAATTCTTTTCAAAACATAACAAATGAACAACAACATTCATAAGTGGATTCCAGTGGGTAAGATGTTTATTGCTGGTATGTGCATGGTTGTTTGAGGACTAGTGGTGGTATGAAGGTTGTTGCTTGTAGTAGACAGGAGGTCTGTAATTATGGGGATGGTGAGCCTCTCCGGTGTACTGAACATCAGCTGTGAAACCCTTGTTGTGGTCAGCCTCGTAATTCACCTGCCATTGTATGCAGAATGTTTATTATTAAGAGAACATTATGTAATGACTAGCAAAAATATATTTGTTTTAACCCTTGGCCGCGACAAACGTAAATATATGAATAATGGACCTCAAAACCACACTTTAGTTAACATCAATTGACTTTTAGAACGTAATTTAATTAATTAAGCACCCAAGATAATTGAGTTCTGTTTTTAAATCCTTAAAATTGGGAAGAACTTATATATGCCTTAAAATACATATGGAGATAAGTATATCTTCATATTATATATTAAACAAATTTGTAGTAGTTAAGAATAGTGACCTCATTGTGCCTGAGAATATTGAACGAAAATATTAGTTAGGGAATACATATATACATATATATATATATATATATATATATATATATATATATATATATATATATATATATATATATATATATATGCGAACAAGCCTGAATGGTCCCCAGGACAATATGCAACTGAAAACTCACACCCCAGAAGTGACTCGAACCCATACTCCCAGAAGCAACGCAACTGGTGTGTACAAGACGCCTTAATCCACTTTATATATATATATATATATATATATATATATATATATATATATATATATATATATATATATATATATATATATATCTCACAAAGTTCACATTTCTGTGAACTTTAAGAAATAAAGGCTAAGATTTCATATCAATTTTAAATCTTAAGACAAATGCCAACATTAATATGGATTTTTGTATATTCGAGGTTGGGTATGTACTATTATCAAAAATACAAAATCTATATCTTAAACTCATTTGGAAATTAGAGAATACTTAAAACTAATTTATTTTTAAAATTCGAAATTTGATTGATAAATTATTTATGGAGCTGATTTTATCACACTGTTAGAAGCACATACCGTCTGTTTGCGTCCATCGGGAAGATCGACATTGTAGGAGCCACGGACAGTGTTGCCATCGGAGTTCTCACTGTGGCCGAAGTTAGTGCCGGAGTAGTCGTCCCTAACATTGTACTGGAAGTCGTGCGGCATCCCCGTCTGCTGCAGTAATGTATCACATTTATGATGCTCAGTTTTTAACATGTTTTCTAAAAGTGTGTTTAATAAATACATATGTGGAAGAGATTAGGTCCAATTATTTAGACGAAGAATTGTTTAAAATTACAAACAAGAGGTCAAATAATAAGAACATTACCTTGTATCCAGAACTATGGACAGGTTGAATACTGTAGGGGTCGGAGGGTGCAGCGAGAGCTACACCCAACACCACCACTATCAGCGCCGCCTGCAGGAGACCAGAGTTTTAGATGTACTTATTATAATTTGGCGAAAGTAGTACGTAATATTTATTAGGTTTGAGTTTAATGTTTGAGTGATTTAATTGGCTATAATTGTTTATTAATTAAAAAAATAATTACTAGTAGTTTTCTTTAGTCTAATTAAAAAAATAAATAAATAATGTTATTAATGTTCGAATATATTAAAAAAACATTCCAGTCATTAATCAGAGACAAAATATACGTAAGTGGACACAAGTCATGATAAGTTTAAGGTACGAACCACAAAAGCCATGTTGAGTCTATAGTTGGATGGTGAGTGGTGGTGGTGTCCAGTCCGCGTCTGACTTTATACACCCAATCCTCTCTCCTGGCCCTTCCTGTCCCCCGCTCTCCTACATCTGTTGTCTTACTAATTCTTAAGCACCTCTTACACGGAGTTTCATATTTATGTTCATTTTGTGTTAATAATAGATAATTTTCTCACTTTCAAATGTCAGGAACGCCGTATGAACTCGTTGACGTTAAGAAATTTATAGTTTAGAGAAGTTAGGCAACATATTTAAAGGCAGCTGAATATGTATTTTTGTACTAATTGCTGATTGTATTGGAACGGTGAAACAACATTGAATATTAGTATATTTAATTTTGGTTAAATAATAGTTAAACCAAAAATTGAATATTGTCGTAGATCATGATTATCGCCTGAAAAGTGGGATTAATATTACTGGGAGCAGGTTTATCATAATTGCAAACTCTGTTAGCTAAGTCTGATTTAGTGTTGTTTCGCCATTAATAATACAATAATTCATGAGAATCGTGACAGTGATGGTGTGCATATGAAGGAAGTGATACTGAGGATTTTTGGAGGAGCGATTCGACGTCGATAGGTATGGTAATAATGAGTACATTAGAAAGGTTGTATGTAGTTGAGTCTGAGGCGATGATTTTTTGAGTAGAAGTAGCAAATCATAATATTTATTGCATGCATTCATTGGTTTATTAAAATCGACTTTAATCAAATATGATTGGTAATAGGCAACTTATATTTTATTTCCTTTTAGACTCTGCAAATAAATTAATAAATTTGGAATGTCCGGTATTCATATACATTGTGCTCTCTCTGGCAGCCATCTTGCTTATGATGACGATAACAGTTACACGTCCAGTAGTGAATACGGGAAATATGTCACTCTCTTTTTTTAGTTTTGACAGGTTAAATAGCCTATCGGAAATTCGATGAAATTCATGTTGGAAGTTTGCTTATGATCTGATAATTTAGACATTTTCACACCTTGGAAGATAACTCGAATCATAAAAAACGTCTTGTATTCATAAGTGATGGTCAGAGGACAGGCTCTTTACGGTGTTTTCAGTACATAATGCTAAATATGGGATTTGTTGATATAACCGACCAATTTTCTGTGTTAAGGTGCTGTATATTCTTCAGGGAGACATTCGTTTGTTAAATCTCGTCGTTTATAATATTGCTTCCCGAAGTTCATATGTCAAATCGTGGGTGATCTACTTTGGCTATATAACACATTGGATTTTTAGTGTGTTGTTCATAACGATGTTAAAGTTTGCAGGAATTAAAAGCTCGTCACTACCCTCAAGTCTTTATTTTAATTACACGAAGATCTAGGTTACAAAGTTCCTGTAACTTTAAACACTGCTTCCTTAGATGCAGTTTCTATTCGTAATGTTCACCAGAATCGTATGAAGGCTGGGGCTGGTATGAGGGCTGAGGATTGTATAGAGGCTTGGTTGGGTATGAGGGCTGAGGATTGTATAGAGGCTTGGTTGGGTATGACGGCTGAGGCTTGTATGAGGGCTGGGGCTTGTATGAGGGCTGGGGCTTGTATGAGGGCTGGGGCTTGTATGAGGGCTGGGGCTTGTATGAGGGCTGGGGCTTGTATGAGGGCTGGGGCTTGTATGATGGCTGGGGCTGGTATGAGGGCTGGGGTTGGTATGAGGGCTGTGGATAATATGATGGCTGGTACTGGGGTTTGAAGGTGATGGGGGGACCGTACTCATGGGGGTACTGGGCTTCGCCCTCATACTTGACCTCGGCCTGATACCCGTAGTCGTCCTTGGCAACGTAGTTCACCTGTTAAATAATTCTTAATGTTTAGAATTAGGATATATGTATATAATCAGAATTTATTTTGTTAGGTAATTCATTATTTCGTTCAATAACATACATTTTGCAAATATTGAATTATAGGACAATGTCAGAAATATAATTATGATATCAGTACATAGGCTAATGCATTTCTTTGCTTATTATACTTTGGTTATAATTACATAAGTTATTAGTGATCTTACTGTCTGTTTGCGGCCGTCTGGGAGCTGGACGGTGTAGGAGCCTGAGACAGTGTCTCCGTCAGACTGTTCGTTTTGCCCAAAGTCATTGCCAGAGTAGTCGTCCTTGACGTCATACTGGAAGTTGTATGGCATGCCTTCCTGAAGTGTATTATGGTATACAGTGTTAAATGTGTATATCTTAGAGGATTTATTTAATATTGTTCCATTTACATATTGAATTTTTAACACTGAATTTGATGCGGTGACGAGAGTTTTGAGGTACCTGTTCGTATCGTGAGTGATGTGCTGGTGGGGAGTAGCGATCATAGTCTTCAGCGACAGCCTCCCCTACCATCACCACAACAACCAGCAACACACTGAGCTGAGGACAACACAAATTAATTACCTTCGTGTTCCTGGATTATGCAGAGATATAGTTTTAAATTGTGTCCTGCAATTATAGATACATCAGTAAATTTATAGGATTTTGGTTCATAATATTATGTTCAAATATACAAGTAGTCATCAGTGAGATACGTTACCTTCGCTGTCATGTTGACTACTTGTTGAAGAGGCAGAGGAGTGAGTGATGTGGAGAGGATGATGGTAAGGTTTTATATAGTAATGGTGAAGGTCGACCTTGACGGAGGTAGGTGGAGGGCCAGCACTGTGGGAGGAGAACCAACAGGGAGCCAATCTCATGAGAGATAATTACCTATTGGCATTATGTAACACCGTTGCTGGAAATGTTCAACTTTATCAAATTTATCCTCCGGTTTGTGCTTGTATAATATAGGAAACACACTAATGATGGATATCTGTTAACTAAATACAAACTTGCTTAAATAAAAAATCAGACAATTACTTTTATTAAAGTGAAGGTAATATTTATATACTTAAGTGACAACTCATCGAAATAATTATTTAAGAATGTATAACTTCTGACTGGTAATTGCTCATTTGATACTAATATTATATATTTTTAAATATAACAGTTTACAGGTAAATGACCATAGCATATACATACAATAATTTGCGTGCGACTGTCATAAATGGTGCCACTCTATAACATATATTAATAATATTTTGTTTAAAAAAATACAATAATTAAAAACTGACCCTCTTTCTGGAGGGGTGGGGGGTCATACATGTCGAGAGGGTGCCGGCGTAGAGTCACTTAAGTCTGTGAACTCTTGGTGATGCAATTTTGCTGACTTGTCATGTTGGTGGTTGTGGTGATCAAGTTTGATAGTTTACTAGTTGGCGATTTAAGTGTTCTGGTAGTTACGCGTTCTGAAGCATAACTACAGTATTCCTCACAATGCCTACAATATTCACATATTTTGTAAGTAAATATGTTTTTTGGCAAAATTCAAAGGAAGTGTTATGCAACCCACTCTTTTGCTGCAATTCTTTTTGGTAATATCACTCAGAAATAGATTCCAAGACTAATATATCACTTGATAATCGCTGGCGACTGGGAAACGATAATCTTATCGCATAGTAATATAAAACAATGGCAGAAAAATTTGTCATGGGTCATGGTTACTCTTTCATCCATTGAGATGTATTATACCAATACTTACATTATTTGTATAAAAGCCGGGGGAAATTAACTGAAATTAATGTATTATAACCAAGTTTTCCGGTGGATCAACATTTGACGATAACTTTACTTCTAAGGTTAACTTTATATAATTGAAAATACTGAAATGGATTGTTAGTTTACTCGACTTTGACTTCATACATTTTCAACCAAAACCTTACAGGTGTCATGGAGATGATAATAGTTACTAGTTTGTACTAATATAGTTTGTTATTGTTCGAACGTGTCTATAATTTGGTAATGTTTACTTTACCCTAAAACCATTTATCAATCAATTCTTTTTTAAAATAAGCTGAGCCTAAATTAGCTATTATCATTTCAATTTAAGATATAAAGCGTAAATACTAAAAACACATGTTCTCCTTTTCAGTTACTGAAATTTGTTAACTTTGCAAACTCCTTTGAACATATAGAAAGAAATATTGAACTTGCATGGGTTTATTCAATCTAACAACACAATATTGCGTATAAAGTCTTTTCAAAACAACAAATGAGCAACAACATTCATAAGTGGATTCCAGTGGGTAAGATGCTTATGGCAGGTATATGGTTGTGTTTGAGGACTAGTGGTGGTCTGAAGGTCGTAGCTTGCAGTTGACAGGAGGTCTGTAGTGGTGGGGATGGTGTGAGCCTCTCTGGTGTAATGTACATCACCTGTGAAACCCTTGTTGTGGCCAGCGTCGTAATTAACCTGCCAATATATGTAGAATGTTAATTATTAAGAACGAGAACATTATATAATGACTGAGCAGAAATATATTTCTTTTAACCATTGGCTGCGACAAACGTATATTGATGAATAATAGACAACAGAACCACACTTCAGTTGACATCAATTGACCTTTAGAACTTAAGATCCCAAGATAATTGAGTTCTGTTTTTAAATCCTTAAAATTGGGAAGAACTTGTATATGCCCAAAAATATATAATATGAAGATAGTTATATCTTCAAATTATGCATTAGAAAACTAGAAGTATTCTAGTGATAGTGGCCTCATTGTGCCTGAGAATATTGAACGAAAATATTAGTTAGGCAATATATATAATATGCGGAAAATCCACAGAGAAATGGAAAAAGAAGATGAACGTGTAATGAACGTTTCGGCCGTTGTTAACACCAGACCTGTGGTTTTGTCTGGTGTTGACAATATCGTCTGGTGTTGACAACGGCGTTGAACGGCCGAAACGTTCATCTTCGTATTCCATTTCTCTGTGGATTTTTCGCATACAAATGAGCAATGTTTCGTGATTGTCAATTGCATATTTATATATATAATATATAATTAAATATATATAATATAATATAATATGGTTGTGTATATATAATGAGGGTACCACCTCTCGTGCAATTGTAGGGGCCCGCAGCCTCGAAGAAAATAAGG